AAGGATAACTGAATCCCTCCAGTGGAATTATAAACCCCCAGGAAGGATATCTGAATCCCTCCAGTGGAATTATTAACCCCCAGAAAGGATATCTGAATCCCTCCAATGGAATTATAAACCCCTTGGAAGATATCTGAATCCATCCAGTGGAATTATAAACCCCTAGGAAGGATAACTGAATTCCTCCAGTGGAATTATAACCCGCCAGGAAGGACATCTGAATCCCTCCAGTTGAATGTAAATCACCCTGCGTAAAGTTTTGAATTGTAAAAAGCATTTTTTCAAACCCCTCCAGTGAAAAAATTTCCCTCCGGTGGTCTCCAGTGGAGTCAAAATCTTACTACGAACTTCCGTGACTCTTGATATTTCAACTATAAATTATATTCGATCAAACAGTCTAAGTTTAAAATATCAAAGTTTCACACCTTCAGGTTGCCATGATATTGGTATTAGAATAATAGAGTTTATTACAAAAAAGTGGAAGACGACAATCATACCAATGTGTTCTGGTGACCACTATATCCGGGATAAGACTGAAGTATACCTGGCTAAGCTGGTTTGAACTAAGATCTAGAAGAAGAAGATTGGTCAGCGGTTCTAGGGTCAGGTTTCCTATCTCTTCCAATCCATTTCCGGTCAACACAAGGTGACTCAGCTCCTAGATAGACAGATAGATAGATAGATAGATATATATATATAGATAGATAGATAGACAGATAGATAGATAGATAGACAGATAGATAGATTGATAAATAGATAGATAGATATATAGATAGATAGATAGATAGATAGATAGATAGATAGATAGATAGATAGATAGATAGATAGATAGATAGATAGATAGATAGATAGATAGATAGATAGATAGATAGATAGATAGATAGATAGATAGATAGATAGATAGATAGATAGATACATAGATAAATAGATAAATAGATAGATAGCTAGATAAATAAATAGATAAATAGATAAATAGATAGATAGATAGATAAATAAATAGATAAATAGATAAATAAATAAACAGATAGATTTTTAGTATTTTTTTTTATAAAATAACTATTAAAGATCCAGTAGCGATGTTTTATCAATGATTGCTATAGAGTTAAAATAACGAAACATTTAAATCTGTTAGCTAGGCAGTTAAAGGCAGTTTAAGGATGTATAAGCAGTTTGTTCTGATTTATGCCTCCTATTACCTTGAATATACGGATAAATGGGTGCCTGGATAAACAAATATATATATATATAGATAGATAAGACAGATTTAGAAAACGTACATAATGTCTCACAACATCTTTGTTAAACTTAACTGAATTCAAAATCAAAAAATATATTTTTTTGTTCTTTTATTTCATTTTGATGGAATCAACATATCGGCAAAAAAACTATCAATTTTCTACAGTTTTCAATATCAATATAAACGTTCCGTCACATATTTTCATTATTTAGTCATCAATCATTATCTATCCTTACTATGCACCCAAATCCCTCCTCATGTATTTTTAAAAGTGATTTACCCCTTAAACACCTAAACAACATAAACAGTAAAATTGATTTTTTGGAATCAATAATGTTGCCAATAACTCATTTCAGTCCATCAGCACAATAATATAGTATATTTACGTGCATATGCATTTTATGCATTATTAATATACAGGGTTACTCACAAAGGATGAGACTTCAGAGACGACTCTACGAAATGTATACAGTCTGTTTTCTAGTATTCATGATTTACTGCATATGTAAGTCATATGCCTTTCAAAGACTAAATTTAAGGCAAAAGTCTCAATTTAACTTTGAGATTGTCATATTTTTCAAGTCGTCTTTACAGTTTCATGTTTGTTAGTGACCCTGTGTATATTTATCTATCTATTCAACCAGAATTAGTTCTAATTAACAGATAGACATTTTTTTTATTATAATCTTTTTATTAGTCCGTAGGTGTTCCACGGATTAAGGTAATTCCTTTCTGAAATCACTCAACATCGGATTAATTATAATCTACTTAAAGGGACTGTTAAGGAAAAATGAAAGTGGGTATAAGCTGAAACCTGAGATTCTCAGGAGTTGAACGATACCTAAAAGACATCTATCGGATGTTCCTGTCTCGAGAAATTGATATAAACTGTACTAAAATTATACCAAAGCGTTTAGATATACGTCCGTATCACGTGACCAGAACTCCCTTCAATGGCAGTGCAGAAAACAGACGGAGACATATGACAATAATACTGCACTGCCATAGGTTGGAGTTCTGGTGACATGTTCCGGACGCATAAATAATATTATCAATTATAACTAATTAAAATAAAAAAGATTCAAGTTAAAAGTTGCCGAAGTGGATAATATTCCAGTCGTTGTAGATTAGCGCTAATTTGTTTAAAAGTTACAACCTGAGGTAAAAATGGAAAATCTTAAATGAAACTAAGCCTGAAATTTTAAAACCTAAATTTTCAAAGAAAAAGCAAAGTTTCTTAACCTTACTTTCAGTTTTATCTATGAAACGGACAGTTAGATAGATAGATAGAGATAGATAGATATATACAAGGAACTATATACAGGAACGCCCAACTCAGATATGCGCATATTATGTACTGTACACTAGGGAGGAATGTAAACAAACCCAGTGCCCCCACAGAAGTCGGAGGGAAAGGACTACAGCTCTGATGTGATATTACAGTCCAACAAAAAAAACAAATTAATATATCAAGAATTAGAGCGAATACAGATGATTTTTGGCATTCTGGTTATTATGAAAAATACAGTAGCAATAGATTTTTATTCCACCCCTTAGGCCCTTTTTCCTCAAAAATGATGCGTTGCCCCTGAATTCTTTGTTTTGATCTCCTCCCACTGCAGTACACAGATTTGACGCATGAGATATGGCGGTTCTTGGTCTATATATTTCTTGGATATATAGATAGATTGAGATAGGTAGATAGATAAATAGATAGATAGAGATAGATAAATAGATAGATAGATAGATATATAGATTGAGATAGGTAGATAGATAGATATATAGATAAA